GAAGGTCAGGACCAGAGCTCGCGCCCTGGGCGGGGGTGGAGGGGCTGGGGGCGGGGATACAAGTGAAAACACCTCAAATCAAAGAGCAAAAGCTGAAAAGCCAAATCTGGCCCGGTAGAGATCCCGGAGCCCTGCTGCTGCCTGGAGTAGGAGGACGTGGCTGAGGAGGGCAGCCTGTCCAAGCTAAGCCCTCTATTTGCTTTGATCGCATGTAAAACTTTAACGACACCCTCTCCTTGTCTGAGACCACCTTTCTTCCTCCTACTGAGCCAAGGTTTCAGAGCTAAACATAGCTTTGAACTCACCCTTTTGTAGTTTGAGGATAGGTTCGGATGCCCCCAGCAGAGTCCTGAGCAATCCGCTTCGCCCTCTCCGTGAGACCATGGGCTCACTCTGCCCTGCCTGGGCTGAAGCCCGCTCCGTCCACTCGCCATGGTGCCATGAGAGATGACAAGGCTGGAGGCCTCGCCTACCTCTGCCGGTGTCCACTCTCAAATGTTGTTGAATTTCCCACACCTGCTTTCTTATCCCTTAAGTCGTTTGTAATGACTTCATCCTGTTCCATCAAGACAATAGGGCACGATATTCTTATTTTTCTGTAAGCTACGTAAGTGGTGTCCATCGATGTAAATATTGCTTGATTGGCCCATCTGTGTGTATACTTTTTTCACGTTTTAGCTGATTTCCTGAGGTAATATGGTCAAAGGAGATGACCACTTTGACAACTTTTATGGCTCTTGATGCAATTTCATGCCAATGAGCTTAGCTTGGCTGGTTAGTAAGTAAGATGGAAACCGGCCTGGAAGAAGAGAACCTGAAAGAGGAGAACTTTGAAACTCATGCTTTAATATTTTAATTTTATTAAAGGGATCTGGAAGCATCAACGCTTTTGAGAATGGTGGGAATGTTAAAAGTACGACTGAAGATAATTTTGACTTGGAGTCAGATGCATGAAAAGAAGATGATGAAATTAGAGTAGGTCCGTTAGGAGATGATTAGAATAACTCTGGGATGATGTCAGGGTGGATGCCTTGACACTGTGAATGGATTTAACAATCACTTTCATTCCTATTTCATAACTAAAATCAGTTGGCATGTTACTGAATTCAGACCCAATCTAGACCTGAGTGGCGCAGACTGTTCTGACCTGATGTGGTTAGTCTTTGGAAGTGAGAATACAATTCAGTCACACGGGTCGGCCTTTCAGGGGACCCTTCCTGCTGACTCGGCACCCGGGGCTGGAGGGCTGTGTGCTGAGCCTTATTTGCTGCCCATGAGGTTAGGCTCTAAGTGACTTTTAGGCCACCATGGCTGTCATAACTGGCAGGTTTGCTTCACCACCGCAAGCCATGCCCTGATCCAAATGGAAACTTGAATCTGATTGAAGATGTGTGTCTTTTTCCAGACTCCAGTCCAATATCCTATAATAGCTTCAGCTCCTTTTTACTAACAACATTTCTACGTGGTTTCCCTCAGTGATTCTTTTTCTGAGGTCTATCTCATGCCTTCCTCTGAATTTTGCAGCCCCTGAATCATCAGAAATGAATCTTTGGAGCTGCCTCAGTCCTTTCTTTTTTCATTCAAAAGTTTTCACTTGATTTAAGTTTTGAGAGTGCCTGAAGCCCCAAGGTGATAGAAATCTAAGGCTGAGAGTGTGAAAAGAACCACTTTTCTACTAGAATACCATTTCCACAAGGGGATCTTACTGTCCTTCCGTTTTATACAGACTTGGTCTTGCTCTGGATGTTATTGGCTGCATTAGAAGAGGACAAAAGTGTATCGTTTTCATGATCAGAAGTGTGATTGTTTATGAAGACACGCTCATGATAGTATGTTACAAAAAGGAAAGATGCACAGTAACATGTGGTGAGAGCTTAATTTTGTAACAAGCGAGAATTAAAACATATATATATGCAGATTAAAAAACTAAAAAATCCATAAAATCTTAATACTAGCTATTTCTCGGTAGTGGAATTATAAATATTTTTTTACTTAATTATTTTTCTTTTCCTCCACAATCTTCTAAAATAAAGATGTATTGCTTTTATAATAAAAAAATAAGGATAATTAGCATCTTTAAATCACACTTTAAGAACTCTGTGCTTGGTAGAAGAAAAGACACAGAATCAGAGGCAATGCAAAGCAGGCCCTTTTGCTTTTTCAGCCCAGCTACTTCTGAAGGTCATCAGTAAGGCTGTTACCATCACTCCTGAGGGGTCAGGTGCAGCCATGATGGGGAAGTGCCTGGCACCATCCAGCACTCATGGGTTCCTTAGACAGTCCAATAGTAATGACTAGTGTCGGAGCTCCTACTATTTTTTTGAGTACCAACCATGTATAGTCATTCTAGAGTCTTGTGTTTGAATGCTGGTTAAAGTGCAATCCAGTCCACTCATTCTTTTAAAAAGAAGCAGTTGAGAAGTGTGATAACTGATATTACAGGTTTACCTAAATTCAAGTAATTTTCTCAAATTTTTATGTAAAATGACACCATGAAGGGCCAGAGTCATTACTTACAGGAGTAACCAGGGAGGACCCTTGCTCATTTTGGCCCCTTCCTTCTGCATCCTGTTTGCCTCCTAGCATCTCCCTGGCAATGCCAGGACCAGCATGTTAACAGCTCCCACAGAGAAGCCCACAACTTTCCAGGATTAGAAGGAGTAAGAAGTCTTTATGCTCTGGTTTTTGAGGTAGATGGTTTTTTACCCTCGTGGCTCCCTTTTCACTGAGAGCATAAAACATACACATTGTCTCCTCCTCTGTGGAGTCTCAAAGAACCATAGTTTCCTGCCACATTTGACCACAGTGGAGCCTCTCCAGAATTCCCACAGTTCCCCTGGGATTTGAGGGTAGAGCCAGAATAAAAGTCTTCTCAGCAACCATAGCCTCTCTGGTCAGGACATCACTGGGCTGAGTGGGAACCTGGGTTGCCCCAAGCAAGATTGGGAAGTCAGAAAAGTGTGTCTCCTGCCCCTAGACTTTTCTATACTTTGCTCTTCTTTTTCAACCCCTCTGGGAAGGATTTCAAGAACCAACTCAACCCAAGGTGTGATGACAAAGGAAACTTAAAATATTACTTCTCTCAGGATATGCATTTTGATTGGGAAAGAAGACTGAAGCCAGTGGAAGAGTTGCTAATTATGACATTTCAGGCCTCTGGTATCGGATGAGGGAGGTGTTGGGCCCCAATCGATATTGAAAGTAATCTATTCCAGCCCTGACATCAGTGCAATCATTCATTACTTAACAACTATTTATTGAGCACCTATATTGCATGGGGCACTGTGCATAATGAAGAACAATACAGACATCAACTATACCCTCATGGAGCCCCAGGTTAGCTCTGGATCAGCCATTTATTATTACATGAAATCATGAGACTGATATTCAGTGGTGGCTTATGAAAACGAATTCCACTTTATTTGAGTAGCACTTGCATTTTGCTCAGTGCTCTTGATATCTTCAGAAGCCACCTGGTCATACATTATAAAGTAGCATTCTGCTCACATTATTTTTACCTGGTCCATAGAGCACAAAGTTGATTAGAACTCGTTGAGGGGTCAAACAAAATTTAATGTTTTAATAAACAATGGAATAGTAGTTTGGTATGTCTGGGCTTGCCCTCTTGGACACATGTGTTGTTGGTTTTTTTGTTTTTTTTCCAGCATAATTTCCTTTGGTAACAGCACCCCATTTGACACCCATTGTTCCCATTCAGAATCCTTGCAGATTGCACAGGATTGGCTTACCTAGCCCTTAGCTCCGGAGGTCACACAACCCAGGCCTGGCCAGTCTGACCTTCACAGCTCCTCCGTCATAAAGACTGGTTCAGGTATGAACCAGTGATCCACACAGCATTTATAGAAAACCTTTGCAGGATTTTTTTGCCAGTGTTATTGGAAAAGAATAAGCTCTTTCCATGGGTTTGCAGGCTGTGAAGAGCCTGCTTGGGAATATGGCCAACACAGAGGAAAGCAGAGACCAAGAACAAAGAGAGGTTTCTGATATTGCTTGAGTATTGTTTAGGTCTATCCACAGATTTTTAATTTATATTATTCCGTATATAGGGAGGGAGGGAGGGAGAGAGAGATATTCATAGATACAGTTTTCTGGTTTTCATCAGCCAGTTTCTTTCATTAGCAACTTAAGGTCCTCATTCATTCAACTGTGTTAAAACTGTTACACTCCCAGGAGTATCTAATCAAAAGAAGATGGTGAACAGGTTGCCTGTCTACTAATTTATCCCTTTATTTTTTGAGTGTCTAGTTGACTGGCAAACTGAGGTTTGTCTGGGGGGAGCTCAGGGAGGAGAATGGAGTTCTGAGGCCCCTGGGCTTCCTGTGGTCATCTGGCTACCTGTTTCCACATGCAGCTGAAATAGTATAACAGCCCCCTATTAAATATTGGCATCTCCCTTCATAGCTTCCAGGGTTTTTTTCCCCTTGCTCCCTTTTTGGAGAAAGGAAAGACACAGTATGAAATTCAAGCCGGAAGACAGAGCTAAAGGAGGAATGACTCTGATTCTTGAGCCTTATAGCTGTGAAGAAATCAGTGTTTTCCTTCAAGCCTATTAGGGAAGCCTGAATGAAACCATCTGCGGCTGTAAACTGTCGTGCCTCCAGACGAAAAAATAGTTTCACCTTCACATCTACATCCCATGCTTTCTGGTCCATTCCTTTTTCAAGTAAAGGAAAGTGGCAGATACCCCTTTTTTGTCACACACGCTCACAATCATTAACACATTCACTAGACCCTGGCCTGGTTGTGTGTATAAACAACCCAAAGACATATGTAAATAAAATCATGTATTGTTTCAGGGCGTACACATCTCTGTGGATAGATGGATGGATGGATAGATGAAGGACAGATACAGATGGATGGATGGGTGGGTGGGTGGAGGGATGGATAGAGATGGATTATATTGACCTCAAAATAACTGAAACACACTTATCTCCAAAATTCTGCTAAAACATAAAACTTAAAATATCAGACTTGACTAATTTACAAGTTTTTAGAAGATGCATGTATTTAAAATTTGAAAAAATATATATCCCACGTATGAACACTATCCCGGAGTTCTAGGAAAACTGTAATGGGATGAGAACGCTGAGGTACCAGCCGTGACATAAGGCCTTTTTGTCCGGGAGACGACTCTGACGTCGGGGTAGGAAGTGGTCTAACAGACCTCCAGAGAAACAGCTGCTCCACCTGCCACAGCTGCACAATGAGACACTGAAATACACAACTCTGGGTAAGAACCAACCCTAAAGATTAAACATTTATTTGGAGTAACATCTTTGCATCAAGAGGGGAGAGGAGCTTAGTCAAGGAATGGGTAGTCAGGCCCCTGTTCCTTGCAAAGCCCCTTGCATTTTCCACACACAACATTAAAGCCAGAGCTCCCCAGTGAGAACAGACTGAAGACCCAACCCACTCCTCCTGAGTCCGGAAAGGGAGTCTGGGCTTTGATTCAAGAGCCGCTTCCCAGGGAAGCTAGGAAGGATGTTTTCGTTATGTACCTTTCAAAACAGACACTCGAGCACCTCCCGGGAAACATCGACTCCGTGCTCAAGGATCTCCTTCTGAAAGTGCAAATTTCATCCTCGCAGGCTACATCAGAGGCCAGGCATTGTTTAGGTATCCTTGCTCTGCTTTCAGGATGAGGAAGGGCCATGACACCTGGCATCTGCTTCTCCAGGAGATCTGCTCCCTGCCTCCACTGGACTGAGCCTGTCACCTCCCAGTGTACCAGCCACTTGAAAACTCCTGGACAGGAAAGGTTCCTATTGCTGGAACAGATACATATTTTTTAATGTTGCAATAAGTATCTCTTCCAGGCCAAGGCTTTAGAAATTGGTTGGCCTGCTCCAATTTGGACAAAGCTGAGAGGCTGTCTCAAGGGTCTTGATACAATTTAAGGTCTTCTGTAACTTACGGGATTTATATTTTCAGCAACACGATTTTCTTTTGTTTCCTGCACCTGAAATTAGTTTTTACTTCCATCTGAGAATCATAAAAGCTTCAGAACATTAAAAAGGCTATCGCTTTACACAAAACAAAATATGAGAAGCTAAATTAGAATCCAGTTCCGAGGTCAGCCACAGGGACAGGTGGTTGTGGATAGGATCCAGGCCCCACAGGTTGACCAGTATCCCTGGGAGCTGTCGCCGCAGTAAATTGTTTTAAATAAGTTTTTTTTTCTTCTTTTTTAAACCAAGTCCATCAAGTGACACAAACTCAAGCTGATTAAAGCCTGCTGCCCTTGGACTGATCTTTGCGAGGGAACATTCGGCGTGGAGACGGGAAACAACGCAATCTATATCTTCGGGCTGCCTCCAGACCCTCCACGAATTCTGCTTCAGCGATGGCTTCATTTTCTCTTTCTCTTGTTGCTTCTCCTTCAAAAGAGATGTCTGCAGCAGCCTCATCACTAGGCACAGTGAGCTCTTCTTCACATTTTAGTGTCCTGGACAGGGGTGTTATCCTGTGAACACAGGAGGAAAGGATGAGTTAGGAAGAGAGTAGGGGAAATCCTGACACTCAACAGACCTCCTTGGTGATACCAGATCCAGCAAGAATTGTAACACTAGCAGTAGTAATGGTAATAATAATGCTGTGTGCTTGACGGAGGTTTCTACGAGCATCAAATCATGTATTCCTCACAAAAGCAAGATGAGTTAGGTACTTCTGTTAGCGCTGTTCTGCGGACGGGGCAATTAAGGCACAGAAAGGTCAAGTGACTTCCCCTAGGTCACACAGCTAGGAAGTAACAGAGTCAGGATTTAAAACCAGGGACCAGAGCTTGAGCCCTCAACTATTAGGTGACATTGCCTATTCCTTGATGCCTGGCTTCCCATGCCCTTCCTGCCCTAGCTTCTTACTTACTAATTCATTCCCACTCAATTTCATCTTCCTGTTATACTGCTCAAGAAACTTTGGTGACATAACGGTGGAAAAAGAACACAAAGAATCAAAAATAGAAGGTGGATACTTTAGCAAAAGGACAGGAAAATAGCTATTTGTTCAACATTCAACCCAAAGTATGACTTTTAGCTCCTTCTGGGCTGGGGCTGCACCAGGCCTTACCACCTTGGGTTCTCTGGCTGGGAAACAGAGACATTTAGGAATGCGTCCACAGCATCAGGTGGCATGTGCTCTGGGCCACCCGAACGTGCTGTACTGAGTGTGAGGAGGTACTTGAGTCACTGCGGGTGTTCCTCACCGGAGCAGTCGGGGAAGGCCTATGGAAGACAGAGACTTCCAGGCCGCAGTGAGGGCAATCTCAGTCGGGGGTGCAGGCATTTCTGGTGGAGGGGACGGCCCGACGGGTGGGACGATGCGTTGCACCTTATGGAATGGTGGGTCATGGAGGCTGGCTGGAGGCATGGGCCCCATGATGGGGGAGAGCGAAAGGCTGGGAGAAAGTTCAGCATGGAGAGGAGGGTGAACTCGATTCTCCAATGAGTGGTATCAAAGGGTTTGGGGTAGGAGAGTAGACGCTGAGACGCCATTTTCAGCAAGATGAATTTGGTGCTAACGTACAGGGTGGGTCTGGAGACCAGGAATTCCTTGAGGAGCGAGTGGTGATTGTAGAGATAAGGAAGGGGTCACAGCAGTGGAGACGGGGCAGGAGGGAAAGCGAAAGGCCCTCCCTGGCAAACCCCCTAAGACCTGGGGGCTGATTAGGCAGGGAGGTGGAAGAAACGTGAGCACCTCGTTAGCAGAAATGGGTGAGTATAACAAAGGAATGTGGGGTTTCAGTTGAATACAAGTGAAGAAACAGAGCAAGTAGGACGAGTTTGGTTTTGAGTATGATTGACTGGCAGGTGTCCAAGCGCAGAGGTCGGTTGGTGTGTGGTTGGGACCTGGGCCAGGCTGGTGCTAAGCAATCAGGAGGGGCTCAGTGGCTGATGGTGAGGGCCAACCTTAGGGATCATTCACAAAATATGACGGCTGGAGCGTGGTAGTGGGGGCCAGAGGAGCCTGCCAGGGTGAAATGTGGCGGTTCTTCTTGAGGAGACAGGGAGGGAGGGAGGGAGGGGAGTTGGCGGGGCGGCCCACCAGACAGAGACTACGGTGGCAGGTGGCCTCCGGGGCAGGGCTGACACCTCACCAAGGTGAGAATGCCTACTCTTTGGTGGCAGGGGAGCAGGGAAGCGCCTGTGAGCTTCACATCAGAGAGAAGCGTGAGATCACAAGGAGAAACAAAGGAGGGAGACAGCACTGGGTGTGTGGGGGAGGGACAGACTCAGGGGATTTTTCTTTAGGACTGGAGAGAACTGAGCAAGGTCTATAGGCAGAAGGGGGTGAGCTAGTGCGGAGCTAGAAACTTGGAAGAGCACCTGGATGGATGGGAAATTCTTAGTGTGATCCCTCACTTAAAATGCAGACACACTCCACAAATGTCCTGTAAAAATGTCCAGAAAATGGCAGTTGGGGGAAGCCAGATCACAGCCGATGTGGGTTTGTCTTGTCAAGAAGGGACCTGTCCTCGGACTCGTACTTTGAGAGGACTAGGCTGCCCTTCCTTTCAGTCACATAGGCGGTGAGGTCATTTGCAGGGCCCGTGGGGATGAGGGAGGAGTGACTGAGGAAGGTAGGTGAAAACGGGCTGATAGAATGCAGTGAGCGAGTTTCCAGGCAGCGGGGGAAGATGGATGTGGCTCAGCCCCATTGGTGAGAGGTCATAAGGGGTCCGGGCTGCTTGGCAAAGGATGTGGAGTGAGAGTGGCTGAGCTTTGTGGATTGATCCAGAAAGACAGAGCAGGTCAGTGGGGAGGGCAGTTCGGTCCAGAAAAGCTAAGGGAGGGGCTGAAGAGGGAAAGCGGGGGAGTGTGGTCCCAAGAGAAGTGAGAAGAGAAGGCCAAGAACTGAGGCTCAAGAGAAGGTGGTATCTCATCAGCTGAGGGAGAAAGAAATTTCAAATCAAATATTGAGAAATCAAGGAGAATGCCTTGGACGAACAATGGAACCAGGCGGTTAGGAAGTCAGGGGTTACTGTCAGTCCTACAAGGTCTTTTTTTTTTAAAAAAAGATTTTATTTATTTATTTGAGAGAGAGAATGAGAGATACAGAGCACGAGAAGGAAGAGGGTCAGAGGGAGAAGCAGACTCCCTGCTCAGCAGGGAGCCCGATGCAGGACTCGATCCTCAGACTCCAGGATCATGACCTGAGCCAAAGGCAGTCGCTTAACCAACTGAGCCACCCAGGCGCCCGGTCCTACAAGGTCTTGAATGTGATGTCAAACATCTTGAATGCCGTGGCTTGGGGAAGTTTATCTTTGGCATACCTGAGTGCCCTACACGGTACTGGAAACATAGTGAGTGCTGGAGAAACACTTGTTTGGTTTATTTACAGTATGGGAGCTGGATCCTCGTCAGTGCCCTCTCTCCAGAGATAAACCGAATCCCAAGTGTTGGGATGTGATATATCCAGCCTGTTCCGTGACTGAAATTCCCAGAATGGCTCATTCCTTAAGCACAAAACGTTGAAATACTCTTGAGGGGCTATGCACTAGGAGTTAACCCTTTCTAGCACTTTCACACGGCTGATAACCTGGGGCCTCGTCCGGAGCCTTGCCCGGCTCTCTCTCTTGAAGAAGGGACGGCCCCATCCTCTGTGCTTCACGGAGCATAGCAATTTCCTGGGAAGAATTACATTTCTTCTACTGCCTTGTCATTATTTGTGTTTTTTGTTCATCTGTTTATTTGTCCTTAGTTACTATTTGTTTATGCCTCTGTCCTTTTCATCTTGGAACCCCCAGTAAGTCCCATAGTACCATGGGTAACTGCTGTTTGGTAAATGTTGAGCGGGACTCCAATTAGTTTCTCTGATCAACGTATTTCTACCAAAGAACCAGATGGGGATTAGATCAGGGGGCTGCGAAGCCGTCTGCTGCCTCTGCCGGACCCACGAAAGGCCTGGGACAGGCATGGGGTGTGCAGGGAAGCCGAGACCCAAGCAGCCCCCTTCACCATCACTGCACCGGTGAATCCTTTTGCACCACTGCCTGAGGCATCTTGCTTCTAACCTTGACTGAGCCTGACAAGGACAAGAGAGGACGGGAGGCAACGCCCCTCCCAGATTGAATGAATGATGCCCATGCGCAGAGAGGTGCTGTGTGGTGTCCCTGATTCTGAAGCCTTCAGCTGGTGTCCATCGTGTCAACATTGAGCTCTGTGACCTTGGACAACTCGTGTTCCCCCTTGGAGCCTCAGGTCCTTCCTCTCTAAAACCAGGGGTTTGGGCTAAGGGTGTCAGGATTTTGTGTCTCCGTGATGGAGAAGGAGACGGAAAGCGTGGAGAGGTGGTGGGTGGACATCCTCAGTGCCTCCCTGGGCTTCCTGTTTGGAAGAAGAGCACTTGTGAGGGTGTGGGCATCTTGCTCCCTGGCCAGGGCTCTGCCAGGCTGGGAATATAGAGGTGGCTCAAGAGGTTTTGGGGGATCCTGTTCCAAAGCTCCTCTAGTTTCTGCAGGAGACCTTCCTGAAGCTTTGCAACCAAGGTGACTCCTTAACGCCTCAGGACCAGTGCTGTGGGAAGTTCTCCTGGCGAGACGGGCACCTCCCAGCCTGAAGCTAAGGTGGAGCCACCCCTGGCAGGTGACCACGTGGACTCGGTGGCTTCATCCTCAAAAAGAAGGGAGGATCTGGGGCAAGTGTTTGCCTTCTGGACATCTGGTGAAGAGCTCCAGGGCTCCTACCTCCGTTTGCTGCCTCTGGGTTGGATATCTGGTGAAGAGCTCCAGGCTGATGGGATCAGATCGCTCATTTTGAATGGATGGTGCTGAAGAAATGTGAAGCATCTTTGCTTAACAGCCCTCCCAGAGGAGTCTCACCCATACCTCAGGTGTCTTTGGGACTCCTACTACTTTCTTCTCCCCAGTCTAGTTTGAGTGGGAATAATGTGAGGGCCCTCTCCGAACACATCAACCCTTCTTATAACTCTAGTTGTATCATTAGAGATTATTTCCTTTGGGTCAAGCAATTTTCTCTCTTCTTTTAAAAATTCACTCATTCACTCAACAAATATATTTTTTAAGAACTACAGTGTTCCAGGCTCAGTGGTAGGGGCTGGGGATGCAGTGAAGGAAAAAGAGTAGAGGGAGATGATAATAAAATAAATAAGAGCATGTGAAATAGTGATATGCACCATGATGGCAGAGTAGAATAGTGCAAGAGAGTGACCGGGGTGGTCCAGACAGGCCGAAGGGGCATCTGAAGGGTGGGTGAGAAGGAGCCGTGTGAGGGTCAGGGGAGGTGTCTCGGGGGCGGGGGGTGGGGGAACAGCAGAACAGCGCTCTGAGCAGGGAGTGATCTTGGTATATTTGACGAACAAAATAACCATCCGCATGGCTAAAGCACAGTGAGGGGAAAGGCCAGGGACAACTGGGCAACAGCCTCGCGAAGGGTTTGGATTTGATTTTGAGTGCACCGGGAAGCCGTGGGACGTGGGGTGGGGAGGCACAGGGGGTGGCATACCCCCCAAAGCTACGTCGGATCCTAACCCCCAGTACCTGCGAATGTGACCTTATTTGGAACTGGCATCTTTGCAGATGTAATTAAAGATCTCAAGATGAGACGATTCTGGATTTAGGGTGGGTCCCACCTCCAGGGACTGGTGTCCTCATGAGAGAAAGGAGAGCAGTTTTGAGACACACAGAGCCAGGGAAAGACCATGCGAAGACAGAGGCTGGGTCTACAACTCAGGGAGTGCCAAGGACTGCCGACCACCAGCAGGACCTGGAAGAGGCCAGGAAGGATTCCAGGGGTTGGTAGCAGCCATCAGAAGTCAGGAGACGGGCATGGGACAGATTTTCCCTCAGAGCCTCTAGAGGGAACCCACCCTGCCAACACCTTGATTTTGGAGTTCTGACCTCCAGAATTGTGAGAAAATACATTTCTGTGGTTTTAAGCCACCAAGTCTGCAGTAATTTGTTATGGCAGCCCTAGGAAGCTAACAGAGGAGGTGAGTGACTTTAGCAGTGAGTAGACGATCGAAACACAGACAGACAGACAGACAGACACACACACACACACACACACACACCCCAACACCTCTTTGGTTGCTGTACAGAAATGAACTATATAGGCAGAAAATGAGGAAGCAGGAAGCCTGGTAAGAGGGTGATGTAGTAGGAAGCTGATGGCCGCCCGAGGGAAGGAATGAGTGAGTGAATGTACTGAATGAATGTTCTAACGGAGGGGGAAGCAAAGCACTGGGGGGTGACTGTTGATGAGATTGTCAGGTTTGGGGGTGGAGGGTAGGACACTGAGCTGCTCTCGTGGAGCTGCTGAGTCTCAGCAAGGCATTCTGCTCCTGAACACAAGTAAGTGAGTTCAAGAGGGCTTCCTGGGAATGGTGGGGGTGGGGGTGGGGGGGCTGCTGAAGGGCCAGGAAGTGGGGGTGGGCAGGGACTGAGGTACCCCTTCCTCTGTGCACTTGGTGTCCAACACAAAGCTTCCTCCTCAAATGGCCCCACTCGAATGCCATCTTCACCCTGAAGCTTTTCTAACTTCCTCCCACATGCCACACACACACGCACGCACACACGCACGCACGCTGTTTCTCCCTCGCTTGTGCTTTGGGCTTCCCCCGGAGAACCCCCTGCCCACGGCCACACTCCACCTTCCTCAGTGTGCCCTAAGGAGCTGCTGGTCTCCCATGCTAGCCTGAGTTGATGGAAAGATGCACCCCCTTTCATCTCTGAGCCCCCCAGCAGTGAGCCGAGCCCAGAGCCCTGCCTCCTGGGCCTTCAGTAGCTGTGTGCGGGCCTCAGTCACTGAGCCGTGCCTGGTCTCCATACATACCCAGAGCACCCCAGAACTCCCGAGGGGGCAGGAAGGCGGACAGAGCCCGGGGCACACTTCCCTTTCTTGTGTCTCTGTCCCCTCACCATCCGCAACAGGGCCTTTGTTTCTGCATATTTGCGCTGATTTGTGAGGAAGTATAAGCAGACATGCTCTGGCCCTGGCCTCCCCAGGTGAACGTGCAGGCCACTTACCTTGGTCTTGGGGGCCTCATGGTGGGGGTTGCAGCCGGGCTCCAGAATGGCCCCTTCCTCACCTTTGCTCTGCTCTGGGGTGCGGGGGCCCTCCCCCCCTTCAGGGGGGCTTGGTGAGGCCTCCCCCACTGCTCCGTCCACCGGCCCCTTGGGGTCTCGGTTCCTTTGTCTGGCCTCCTCCTCTTCATTTCCTGCTCTCTCCACCTTCACCTCCTCAGACTTCGCTGTCTCTTTTCCGGCTGCTTTTTCTTCTCTGGGGCTCCTACCTCCGTTTGCTGCCTCTGGGTTGGAGGCTTGGGCTGGTTGGACAGCCTCCCCCGGGGCTGGATGTGGGCTGGCCTCCTCTTCAGAGCCCCCCACAGCCTTGTGGGGGTGCTGGGCTTCATCCACGGCCCTGCCCTTCTCCTCCTGCTTCTCCGTCCTGCTGGACGTCCTCCTCAGAGGAGGCTTCTCTTGAGACCCCAGCTGCCCCCCCACTTCCTCCCCGACCGGCCCCTCGCCGGGGGGAGGGGAAGCCAGGGCCTTGCTCTTGGATGGGAACACCTCATTCCCATTCTCTTCCTTGGCACCATTCTCCTGGGATGACTCGGGGGCCCTGAAATCTCCCAGGTCCCCACAGTCCGACTGAGACCTTCGGAATCGTCTGGAGGGAGGGCGCCTTTTTATCGAGCCCTTCGTCCGCACCTGGAAGAACGAGTTAAGAGAAATTATCCACAACCTGTGAAAAAGGCCAAGAAGGGGACTGCATGTCTTTCGATGTCAGCCTAAAGCACTGCTTCGTCAGCCAGCCTTTAAGGGTCATTTGATTTTCCAGCAGAATGGACCCCTGTGTGCTATGTGAAGTCACAGGGTAGCCAGTAGGTTTTTGCCTCGTGATGACGCAAATGCTTTCCATCCACTAAAAATGATAGCCTACCTATACTTTTATTATCCTGTAAAACATTAATCCGTTTGGTGTCCAATTTAGCAATTTAATTCTAACATTTGTTTTGTCGGTTGCCTATAAATAACCGGCTCTTTGAATGTTCTCTGAATGAACTTTACCATATTATAGGTTTCTTCACAAATCCGACAAGCTGACTAAAATCTCTATTTTATGGAAGAGTCATGTTTTAACATTTAGGACATTTTACTTTGACAAAAGTGAACCCAACAGACAAGAGGGTTAGGGGCCTGCAGATGGCCTGGCCTTGCTCAGGGACCTCATGGGGACAGAGCCGGACAGCAGGTGACCAGCTCCGTCCCCTTCCCCAGCCTGGCCCTCCCTGCCCTCCTCAGAGCTGGCTAATCCCCAGGAAAGCTGCACAGACAGGCACCTTCACTTTCCTGGGCTCAGGTCCACCATGAGCAGAAGCCATGCCTTAGGAGCCTCCAGCAGAGCCGCTCAAAATCATCTCCTATCTGGGAAGTGTGTGAATCTCAGGATCACTCGGGCCTCATCTAGGCCCACTGGACTTTGCCAGAAGTGCAGTGGAAATGTTTATTTGGATGTCGTACTTTACTCAAGTGGTGTGTGCTTTAAAATTTTAAATGTAGATGAAATCTTATTTCATAAACCTTACATCTTATTTTTGTAAGTCTTATTTTCCCATTGGCTTATGTTTTGGTATTTGTCAATCCTAGTTCCTTTCAGAAATTTGAAGTCAATACTTGGTTTATAAGGGCCTCCCAGGCTCTTTCCTGAGACCATGGTGTGGCCAGCCCTGCAGGCTATCAAGGACTGGCCCTGACCTCACCGTCAGCAGGGTTCAGGAATACACCCTGCTGCCCTAAAGCACTCCCCTCTACCCCGGACCCCATTACAAACAGGCGGCCCCTCCTCCCTCCCAGCCCCCCTCCCTAGTGAGCATCCTGTGAAGAAAGGAGGCTCTCCCCTGGCTTCCTCTCTGCTGTCGGGGGTCTCTCCATTACCCGGAGCTGGAGGATCTCCGCCCTATCCCCAGCCAGCAGATTCAAGACTTAGCATCAGTTTGTTTCCCTGGATTCTACCTGTTTCTACACATTTGACCTTCTCCCCCATGGATTTTCTGGAATGGCCCAGAGGACCCCACTCTTTCCATCCATTACTTTAAAGTTCTATCCATTTGCCATTCCCTGGCATCGGATCCCTTTATGTTGGCCCTTGCTGGGCACCGGCCCAGATTTGCCGGGCACCTGCTTGGACAGTACTGGACCGTATCTCTGATTCTTACTGTGTGTAGTAGGGCCGAGGATCTGACGAAAGAAAGCACACTCAGGGCATCTACAGAACGGGACCTTACATACATCTTTTTGCAAAGGGAACAGTTTGGCTAGTCTTTAAATGGGGCAAGCTGCGGTAAGAATGATCTGAACCCATACTGGGGCACTTAAAAGTATTTACATCAAGCCAGAGCAGTGTGGTTTGGAGTCCTAACGACCCTGCCCACCCTCTGTGTGAATCACTGATCAGGCCTTCAGATTTTGTTTTCAGTTTTTGACACAACTATCTGTGCGGCTTGGATCCGTCCTGAATTCTCAGCCCTCTCTCCACGAAGGACAGAGCGCTCCGTCCCCCAGGGGTGCCTTCAGGGTGAGGGCACAGCTCTGGGAGAGGGGATGAGAGAGGCAGGCTAGAGAGAGGGGCCATCTCAGGCACAGAGAAGTTTCCTTTCTGTTGAGAACCAACTCTGACGGCAGCTCACGTGTGTCCTCCCTTCCCCAGGACAACACCACGGCAGAGATGATTCAGGACTGCCCAGTGCCTGCATTTCCACCAACACGCCGCAGGGCTTTGGACCCAGACATTACCTTATTGTAACAGGGCAGATGGCTCCCTTCAGGAGGCTGGTCAAAGCTAACTGGCACCTCCTCTGGCTCCTGAGACCGCACGCCAGGGCTGCTGGGGGTGGAAGGTGGGCTCTGGAATGGTGACGCCGCAGCCTTAAGTCCAGGACTCTTGGGTGAGGCCCCAGGTAGCAGGGCTGCTGGATCGAAAGCTAAATTGGCCTGCCAAGAAAAGGGGAGGCATTTCAAGTTGGGGTGCGGGACCCTGAGAGTTTCTGCTTGAGCTTGTTGGGTATGTGGCCTGGAACTGGTTGGGGCCAGGTAACCAGGTAATGTGAGGCTTTCTGTGTCACTTCCTAACCAAGTATCCATTGTCGTATCATGTCCTGGTCTTGGAGGCACTGTCTCTTGCCACCACCCGCTCATACCCCACCCCCACCCCCTGCCCTCCAGAGCTGGACAAGACTGAGTCATTGGTAAGAATTAAAAATATAGGGGTGCCTGGGTGGCTCAGTAGTTAAGCTACTGCCTTCGGCTCGGGTCGTGATCCCAGGGTCCTGGGATCAAGCCCCGCATCGGGCTCCCGGCTCAGCGGGGAGTATGCTTCTCCTTCTGCCACTCCCCCTGCTTGTGTTCCCTCTCGCACTGTCTCTCTCTGTCAAATAAATAAATAAAATCTTAAAAAAAAAGAATTAAAAATATAAAAGCTACACAGCAATGCTGTGAGCCCGAGCCATGTTAAAAAAGCAGCATGTGATGAGTACCAAGGGGCAGGCTTGGTGACAGGGCTTCAGGGCCGGGCGTTAAAGGAGGTCTCCCTCCCCGCCCAAGTTCAAGCTGGAAAGTTCCCTCTGTAAGACTGCTTGCAAATAAAAATACATCTTGCTAGCCAGCAGGAAACTTGAGCTTTGAATTATGGACTACTCCAGGGAGGAAAAATCATACTTCATAACTCATCTAATAGAATATTTGGCTGAAAAGTCTAGCGGATGATGCATTTCTTAGTTCTTGTCTCCCTCTCCTCCTCTTCCCCAAAAGTAAGGTTCCTGTGGGATCTGGCCAAATTGTCATCCTGTTGCTGACATTCTTAATGAGATTGAATGATTAGCAATCACAACCTTATTCTCAGTTGCTGTGCTTCCCAGAGAGGCTCCTCAATGATGGGGAAGGGAAGGGGAAGGAGACCAAGACTGTGGGGCAGAGAGCACGTGGGAACGAATTTCTGGTGCTCGGATGAGGGCTGAGCTGGACTGCAGGGAGGCAAAGGTGAGGGTCCTGGGCTGCACCCCTGGGCTGGCTATGAGAGGGGGTGTGCACACCTGGATCCCTTCTGAGAGATCTTCCTTACGCACATGAGATCCCTGCAGCCTCCCAGCGTGACAGGCAGCCCCATTCCTTCCCTGCAGCTGGAGGGCAATCAGGGCTTTTCAGTAGGAATTCAACTTCTGGGGAGTCCCCTCCCACACTGCACAGGGTAGGGCTCATGGCCAGAAACCAGAGATGCTTTTCTTAACCCCAGATCAGGCTGGGGGCCAAATCCCTGGGCTCTCCCAGAGGTGGAACTGCAAAAGCTGTGGCTGCTTGTCTGGACACACCCCTAATAACGGCTTTGTAGCAAAGCTGATGAGCTGGTTTTTTTAGCTGGACCCAGATGGGAGGATATGGTGCACAAGAGCCTTGCTGTTCTCCCGGGTGGCTGCACAGAGACCGCGGTGAAAGCCGGGGCAGCCTCCACAGGCCCCACCCAGACCTATGCCAACCCTCCTCTGTGCTTTAGCTCACGCTGGTCCCACATCAGGAGCACCTTCCTCCTTCCTTTCCAGCCACGCATCCTGGAGGACCGATTCAGGGTCTAGGCGTTTCATAAAGCATGCATTAACTACTCCTGTCCACTCTACTCTACCCTTGCTCTAAAATTCCTGAGCAGTGGTTCTGACCTGGGGTGGGGGTGGGGGTGGGAGGCAGTCGTGTCCCTGGGAGACATTTGGTAATGCCTAGAGATGTTTCCCATTGTCACAGCTTGTTGGAGAGTGCTGCCGGCATCTAGTGGGTAGGGACCAAGGATGCTGCTAAGCATCTTGCAATGCACAAGGCAGTGCCCTTCCACAAAATTATCCTGCCCCAATATTGCCCAGGTTGAGAAACCCCGATTTAGAGCAGTAGGAGTCAGGTGGTTACAACACAATTTAGATCTCGGTATTTACTCTCTGAGAGTTTATGTCTTTTATTGTATCATGTGTGAAAATCTTGTCTCCTCCCAAAGACCGTGAGCTCAAGTTCAGTGCCACAAGGTTCATTTACACCCCCAGGAAAGCCAGCCAATTGCGGGCACAGTGGTGAGGGCTCTGGGCTCACAAAGTGATAGGTAGAGAGGCAGGCTTTCCAAACAACAGATTTGGCCATATCAGTGCAACGCCTAGCCGCTGAATTTCAGCCCTGTGTACGACTGAAACGGTTTGTAGGGGCTTTCAGGCCTAGGGCGAGAGGACTTGGCTAGTCCTGGAGCGTTTCTTGCACTCTAATGTCTTTTTCCAGACTCTTGGGACACCCCATTATCCACCAACCACCATTAGCTGTTGACCACATGAGCTCGTGCTGGATGGAATCTTTATATTAGCCCTTTGCCCCTGGATAGAGCTCCTCATCCTTCACAGCTGCTTATCAGAGATCAACTCTTCAGGTGACAGCAGGTGCTACCCCCAGGAGCCCCGAACACACGCAAATGTTGGATAAGAGATGAGGTGGGGTCAGAGTACCATTTTGCACTTACCTGAAGCTTCTCAATCAGAGGCGAGCTCTTCACCTTGATTTTAGGAGGATGGCTTGCATTGGGCGACGATTTCTATAGAGCAAATGGACCAAAACAACCAAATGAGCGAGGTGAAGGGAGGTGGCCTTCTGGCTGGAGTTCACAAGGCACAGGTGGAAGAAGAGGGGCAGAAGCTGGTGTCACTACTTTCCCACTTAGCTTCAGCTTCCCACTTACCTCGTTGGGGCCTGGGCCAGCGTAGGCTCCCCTCCACCCCCCCACATCCCGCAGTTGGCCAGACCACTTGAATCTATGAATCAGAGCCGGCAGAACAGACGTCTGAAATACAGGAGGCCTCCTGTTCCAGGAAGGATGACTTCATGGTCATTACAAGAGAACAGACCATGTCTGAGGGCATGAGATTGTCATCTCACGACCCTCAACAAAGTGAGCCAACAACAGGAGGGAATTCCAAAGAGAAAGGGCGAAATGACCATGTGCTCTGGTTGCACAAATAAAATAAGAAACCACAGACCAAAGCTAAAACCTCACAGAGATACAACTGAAAACCTTCCCTTGAACAAATGATATTTTGGAAAATCCCACCAATGTGTTATTTATAGATTATCATTCTCCCAACATTGACTATTCATTTTCATTAAGCAGGCATTTACTCTCTACTACATTCCGGGCATTGTGTTGGTTATGTGAAGATGAATATGATTTAGTCTCTGGCCTCTAAGAAGTGGTCAATGGCTAATACATACATAGAAAACCATACCTACGTTCTGCTAGTTGGAGATATTTTTGTGATGAATGTATGTCAGGAATCTTGTCTGCAGTTAATTTTATCTAAAAAAAATGGATTCCTTGGGGACACCTGGGTGGCCCAGTCGTTAAGCGTCTGCCTTCGGCTCAGGTCGTGATCCCAGGGTCCTGCGATCAAGCCCTGCATGGGGCTCCCTGCTCAGCAGGAAGCCTGCTTCTCCCTCTCCCACTCCCCCTGCTTGTGTTCCCTCTCTCGCTGTGTCTCTCTCTGTCAAATAAATAAATAAAATCTTTAAAAAAAATAAAAAATAAAAAAAATGGACTCCTTGTTTTGTGTACAATCCCTGTAACTTGAGTCTGGGTCCACAGATATATTGATCTCCACACGCAGGAGTGATAAGAGCAATGATGATGGTGATGGAGGTGGCTTCCATGGGGTTTAGGAGAGGCCAAGGCAGAAAACGGACTTGTCTACAGTTTGGAGACCCTACATGTGTTTCCTGCCCCTGTGTCCTAGTGTACCTGAATCATAAAAAGAAGAGTAACACCCATCTCTTGGAGATATTCTGAGATATTTATTGAGCGAGATGATTGTACGTTAGTGATGGAAGGAGGAAGATTTACTCAATCAAACTCCTTGTGGCCTTTTTAAGGCCCAACACTGAGGGAGAGGTGCTGGAGTGGTACAGTTTTCAGCTGGGACTTGGGCTTTGACAGGAGCCAGATGGGTGCCGTGGGCCTCAGCCTCCTAACCAAGACCCAGGCAGCTGGGTTAGAATAAATGATTCTAGGGGCACCTGGGTGGCTCAGTCGGTTAAGTGTCTTGCCTTCGGCTCAGGTTATGATCCCAGGGTCCTGAGACTGAGCCCTGGGCTCTGCTCAGCGGGGATTCTGCTTCTCCGTCTGCCCTTTCTCCCCTGGTCATGCTCTCTCTCTCAAATAAATAATAAAATCTTTTTTTAAAAAATGATTCTAAGGACTCCTCCAGCGTGAACGCACCTCCAGGCGCATGAATTTACACTGTCAGACGTATTCCGAGAGCAGTCTTGCAAGGAGCCACGTGTCCCTGAGGAGTACGGCTTCCAGCCCCAAATCAGTTGTTTTTAATTTCTGTGCTTTACGGTGAAATTTCACAGGACCCATTGTTTCTGAAGACACTGCTTTGGGAACGGCGGCAAAGATTCTGCTGACAAAGCTCACTTTATGTAATACCAGAAACTCTTCTCTTCCCCAAGCGACCACCACCTCCCGAAGAGAGGGGACATTCGATAACGCAGCCGCTTCGCTATAGGACAGCGCTGGGAACCCAGCTCAGGCTTCACGAAGTCCGTGCTGATTAGAATCGAGCCGCAGAGCGGGAAGGCTCCGCCGTAGCCGCTGGTGCAGTTCCTGAGCTTGGCAGCAGGGGGCAGCATTTCCTTTGCCATTTAACACAGGAATCCAGGCCAGAGGCTGGGTCTAGCACCGTCCTGGGGGACGGGGCCGGGCGGGGGCGGGGGGTTGCTGCCTCAAGCTCTGGATGTATGTATATACGTCTACGCATGACGTTCCTGTAATGCCTAGAAATTACGAAGCTGATCTTTCAGATGGGAGTGCTTTTCAGCCCTTTGGCAGACGGTTATACTAACTACTCTTGTGGTTGGGTCCTCCAGAGAGGAGTCACCCCACGGTCTCAGGCCTGAGCAGGCCTGGGAGGGGCAAGGATGAACAAGGGGTGCAAAGACCCTTCCCTGCACCGAGGAGTCGCCTGCCAGGGGCCGTGCCCTCAAGGCCCCCCCTCCGAGGCTTCGGGAATTAGGGCTCCTGCAGGCAGAAGCCTCTCTCCAGCCCAGCCAGACAAAGCTGGTGGTTCTTTTCATTTCTATGTGATTTCCAAGGTGACAAGAGCTCATCGATCCTGGAAGCAATGTCCTTCCTATGTACATGCAGCCTGCCACTCCAGGCAGAACTTTTTCTTCTAAAATCCACCCTCCTATTCATCTTGCCCTTGGCTCTTAGAGCCCGTTTCACTGCTGGGTGGTGCCTCATGGGATGAACCTGTGGATTGATTTCTCCCGGAGCCACTGAACTAAACTGACTCATTCTGCTTTTACTCCAGGGAATAAAACATCCCCGTCCAGCCCCCATCATCTGTCTGGTTAGTGTTCGTGTCCCCATTTCACAAATAAGGAAGCAGGCTCAGTGCAAGACGGGGGCTTCTCCAGGGCCGAGCCCGGGTCATCAGGGGGCAGCCTCACAGTAGGCTCCCAAGGGCCACGGCCTCAGCCTGCGGCCTGGCACTGACACCAAGCCCAAGGGCTGAAAGTCACAAGGAGAAGTTGACCCTCCGTAAAGAGAAGTTGTTGGAATGTATTTGGTCATAGCACTGGCTATTAACTCCATGAAGCCACAGAATCATAATGTTAGTGCTCAAAGAAATTCCAACAAAAACCTCAGTTTTTAAAAACTGTGTTTCTTGGGATTCCCATTCCAGGAGAAGACCCTTGTTCAGGGCCTGGGGGAGCAACCTCAGAGCAGTGGGGCTCTAGCAGCCCCCACCCCACTTGACCAGCAGCAACGAATTTCCGCTTTCTGTGATGGGCTTCAGCCTGGAAGCCTTGGGTAGGAAAGGTTTGAAACTGTCGCTCTACTCCACACGTTCACTACCATAGATACTCAAGGTCACTACCATAGGTGCACAAGTTCACACAGGTATCTAGTGTTTATCGCCAGGTTGCTGGTCCCCAAAAAGAAAGGAGGAGAGAGGTAGCTGACATGGGATTTGGGAACTGGGCTGTCTTTGGCTTCCTTGCTCTCTCTTGGGGTTGGTCTTCCAGGCTGGACGAGAGAACATGGAAGTTCATTTCTGGGGGACCGTGACGTGACCACGATGAAGGTTCATGGGCGGCTAGGAGGGAGCGCAGAGAAGTCACTCTTACAGCTACCATGAGATAAATAAGGGTAGGTACCTACCCAGTCTGGGAATATGTTGCTGGCTAGGATCTGTGACACCAGAGCCTTTCTTTTGTTGGTAACATTGGCTATTTATATGTGAGGGCAACGAGGCCTCTGTGTGCTCTGATTTTCTTCCAGTGATCCAAAACAATAGCTAGTCTTTACAAGGATAGCACCAAACCATGGTACTCTCTCCCAGGAGGCAATTCTGCCTTATGTAAGTGTGGCCCATCTTTTCAGGTGCCTTCTGCCCAAGGAAGATCACAGAAGTCGGACCTGGAGTGAAACATAACCTTGGTGACTCCGGAACCTGGCGTGGTAATACTCTATGGCCCGTTTGTTCTCTTTGTTGAAATTCTCCGGCTTGGAGAACAGTGCTCCAGTCCTAAACAAATCCTAAAGAAGGCTCCATGAGAAAGAGTGGAGAGGAACCTGGGGGTCCAAAGTAAAGGATTCCAGAAGCATTAAGAAGAGGAGCTTCATCCCTGAATCTGAAAGGGAGAAATTCCCTGTGCAGGTTCCAAGGCCTAAATGTGTGCGTTTTGTGCCCTCTCCTCTAGAAGGAGAAAGCAGATCCATAACCAGCACCCCCTGAGCTCTGACATAGCACTTACCTCCTCACCGTTCTGGCCCAGCTCTACCTTGGGGGGGAACAGAGGGAGGGAGCAGGGCGGTTTCCTTCTTGTCGGTTTACAGGCTGGTGTCTAGAGGGAGGGGGACAGACAGACACACAGAGAGAAAAAGAGAGAGAGAGCTCATCAGGCAACAGGGAGGAAGAGGAGTAAGTGGAAGCTGGTTTTAGGAATGTTCAGGGATGTCCAGAGAGAAAAGATGGAGGGAGGGGTGACGTGTCTTTAAGAAGGACCCATTAGCCCTATGCATTAATTCTATTCCGCTGTCCACCCCTTCTGACTTCCAGGCTCCTGGCTCCTCGCCTGGTTCTTTTCTGCTGGAACATCCTCTCTGACTTGAGACTCACTGGCCTGAAACAACATCTCAAAATGACACCTGCTTCCAGTTTCCAAGCGTTGCTGGCACCTTAGGTCAACACTCTCTTCTTCACCCTTTACGATATTGCGTACTCTAGAAATTAAAGACCGATTTTTCAGATGGGAAAACCAAAGCACAAAATACTGCACCTAAAAAAGCCTGATGGCTGCACCCCTGTTCGCCCCAAGGGGACCATCGCCCACCTTGGGGTGCAGTCTCCTTCCTGTCACTCCTCCTGAGCTCTGCATACTGTGTGACTTGGGAAAATCTAGCCCAAATCTCTCCAGCATTGCAACAACCCTTTTTGCACTGTCCTCTCCAGCCGGATTCCCCTGGAGTCCGGTGGTCACTGGATCCCTGTCCTTCCTGATCCCTGGCCTCCTATCAGAATGCACTTCCCTGGACGTTTTCTCTTCCTCTTCAATTCTCAATTCGGAATCTGCCCCCCTCTCACCTTGCCCCTGACTTCTGGACCCCAGGGCAGGAGCCAAGCATGGGCACGTCTGTATTCTGAGCCAGTCCAGGTCTGGCACGGCCGGGCAGGATCTAAGTCTCCCACAGCCGATGATCAAGACGGAAATGAATCCAGACTCCCATGTTTCCAGCTCTCTGGCCTGTGTCTCCCCCCGCTCCCGGCCAGAGTGTAAGCCTCGCTCTGGTGGGGAAAGATTCTGCACAGGCCCAGCAGCCTGGCCACATTCCTCACATTCAGAGGGACCCCTCTCTGGCTTCTCTTCCTAATTTGGTAATTACCAAGCGTCCTCCCTCCCTCTCCTCTGGGCCTGACCCAGACTTCCCCTTCCTCCAGCCCCCTCCCAGAAGAGGGGCTCAGGAGCCGCCTGACTCACCTCCTTTGCAGCGGCAGCCTGCTCCCTGAACCGCCCAGCCAGCTGGGCCACCGAGGGGGACGCCGAGTCATCCACACTGGCGCCGGACTCTGCCGATCTGTCCTGGCAAACCAAGGGGAAGCCAAAGTTAACGGGCAAATGTGCACTCGACTCTTCTCCATGTTGCTCCTGGGCGCCACTGAGCTGTGGCCTGGAGCAGGGAAGCAGGGACAGCGAGGTATTTTAATAGCATCTTGCAATTGGCCCCGCATCCAAGGATTTTAAAAACCATCCAGTTAACCACACTTAGTGCATTCTGATGACGCGTTCGGCCCTGGGTGTGGATCCGGGGGTCTGGAGAGGAATAAGACTGGGTCCTGTCCCGAAGGGGCACCCAGGGATCTGGGAAGTAGTATAAGCCCAGTGTTCCTCATTCTGCAGAGACCCAGACTGGAAAGGGGTATATCAGAGACAGCACAGAAGTCTCCTTCCCTTGGTCAGAAGAGGCCTTCAGAAATGGTGGCAAATGCATTGGAAAGCAGGGCTTTACGTGTATGGAACGGGGTAAGCAAATGCCCTCTATTGAACTTTGAACACGTATATAGGTCTTGTCTTCTCTACTTAAGTGAGTGCCTTGGACAAAGGAGCATTTGGTACCTATTTGCTGAGTTAATCAAGAAATAATCTGAGGGGCACGTAGCATGCAGATGAAAGCCGGACCACCTGGATTCAACCCCTGGGTTCCTCCATCTCTTACTAGCTCGGTGACCAGGGCTAATGGCTTTACCTTTCTGTACCTTTCCGTGGATTGAATAATTCCCTATCTGAAGTGCCAGGGTCAGGCGGGGCACACTGTGAAGAGTTTTGGAAGGCTTGTTATTACTACCAGCAGCGGGGTCCTTGCAAGAGCCCTTCTGGTGATTCACGTTAGGTCCTTGCATAATGCATTCCTGCTCTCCACAGTGTCCTCCCGGAGAGAAGCTCAGCCCTTTCCCCTTCTGTTCCTTTTTGCTGAAGGAACTACCTGAAAGTTAGGTTTCTCCAAGTTGGCTACAAGCATGCGTGGGCCCCCGCTCTGCCACCAGCGCAGGTCACTGGTCCCTCCCTCCAGGTGCCTCCAGGCTCCCTGACGCAACCAAGACGCACCCTGGACACCGTTCGCGCCCACATGCCACTTGTCACCGAGACACACTCGGTGAGTCAGCGAGCGCTGTAAACGGCCACCCCACTTCTGACGTGTGGCATGTGGCCTACATAACCACCTGGTTTCAGTATTTTTTAAATGTCCAGTCCTAGAGACATTAAGCTTTTGTTTTGGGGACCACAATGACGGCATTTCTTACACAGCTGCAAATGCCCCCGACCACTTCCCCTCCTCACGTCTAGCCTGAAACTAGGATTTGGGCAGCAACAGGCCCGAGAAAGCCCACCGTGGTCTCTGCACGGGGCTCGTGGCCCACAAAGACAAGGCATGCGCCCCTCCGGCTGCTGGCCTGCGCCCCTGTGTGCCACACACACATGCACGCAGGCTTCCTAGGTCTTCCTTTTTGTGCTTGAAGGTGTCTCCAACCTTTCTTATTTGGGTGCTCCCTCCAAAGTAAATGTCATTGGTCATGCTAGACCCTGGCTGGTTGGAGCAGGGGTAAGGCAAGCCCCAAGCCCCACTAACCTCTTGCTGTAAAATTAAGTAAACGGGGCCGAGCTCTGTGAAGAAGGCTTTGTTTAGAGATGGGAAGGAGCGGCTGGAACCCAGACCTTCAGATCTGAGAACAGGCTGTTCTGGAGGAAAGGCCAGTTCATCTTTACTGTTTCCTGCTATAATTCAAGGTCAAGCCCGTTCCAGCCTAGACACCCAGTGCTGACTTCGCATACAGATGTGGAAGGATTCACCTCCATTCGGGGAGCCAGTGTTCCCCATAATGCTGGGGAAAAGCTGGGGAGCCCGTGGCCCCCCCCACGAGTTGTGCCCCGCTGGGCAGAGCTCCCGGGGCTCACACCTGTCTGCCTCCCACACCTGCCACGATAGGGGTGGTCACAGGCAAACATCTTGTCCTTCGGGTCCTATGGAGAGGTTTTAGCACAGAGCGACTAATGGAGCCACTCTTGGCCGATTGGTTTGTCCATCTGTCTCACTTCCTGCCCACATAACAGATCAGTCTCTCTGTCCGTTGCTATTTATTGCTCGGGTCCTGCTGACAGTGTACTTTACCTCCGCTTCGAAGGCACCAATCACTGGTGTGCAGGAAGATACATTCCAGATAAAAATAGAGCTGTACGGGGATCAAAAACTCCTCCCTAACTTCCTCGTCTCGAAATGGGGCTTGGCAAGGGGCTCAGAAGTGATAGAACTGGAAGCATTTAGGGCTAAAAAGCTGGGTTGAAGGAAAGATTATAACACATCTGAGTTCATTTTCCTGGAGCCCAATGAATGGCTCTTCTTTGGAATGTCTAAGGACTCCAGAGCTTGCTGAAGCCTGGCAAACCCATTCACCATCAGCCCCTCTCCAGACTCTTATTCTGTGTTGTAGAAGATTGCCTTCTCCCAGCTGCCACACTGAAGCCCAGAGAGGGCAAGTAACTTAGCCAGAGTCACACAGTAGAAGCCAAACAGAGTAATCTATGAGACGCTTTACTCCAACGCCTGCTAATCCAGCAATTGGTATCAGTTAGATAGTATAATTTGTGGAGATGCTTTGAAAACTGGGAAGTGCTGTGTAAGAAATGAAACTATTATTAGCCACTGGATTGCACTGGTACAACGGGAGAAGCACGGCCTTGGAGATGGACAGAAGCCAAAGGCTCAGCCTGCTTGAAGCTCCACCTGGGTTTCTGCCTTGTGATTCTGGCGGGTACGGCTGCTAACCTCCTCCAGTGGTTCAGAGGCGCACCACCTTGGCTCCAGGTTAGCGAGCGACTCCTCTAGCTTTCTCTCCTGGCCCTGAGGCCGGTTTGGTAAGGCCACCGTCTCACCTGGACTGAGAAAGACTTCAGGGTCCCTGCCTAGCCCAGACTTTCCTGGGACCCCACAGCCTCCCTGGGATTAAGTGTTCTTCCTCTGTCCCCAAGATGTCCATAAAACATTTAACACAGAGCCCAGAGCGTAGAAAGTCCTTGTCGAAGGGTGCTTTCTACCCCCTACCCCCACATCCAACTTAGCTCACAGGGTCAGGGCTGTACCTGTTCCCAGAGTCGCTGACACCCTAACTTACCCCTTGGGACCACGCCGGCCACAGGTTCTCCCCGGCCTGCCTCCAGACTGGGTCTGAGTCACTGCTGAGACCTCAGTGCATCCTTTCTTCTTAGGCTAATCTCTATGTCTTCAATCTGTTTTCTGGACTCATCTCCCTTTGTGTCTCACTTTAGCGGACACTCGTCTTTCCAGACTTCGGGTCTCCACTCCGTTCTCCTGGGCCCAGATTTTGCTCACCAAGCCCTCCCTGCCACCGATCCAGCCTGGCCCTGCCAGCCAGCTTGGAAACCACTCGTGTGGTTCCTGTCTGACTTTGCCGAGGCCAGAAAAAAAAAAAAATCACCTCTGGTGTTTACTTTCCATTTCTATGGGACTTTCTTCTGAGAACTGAGGAGTCCCTGTGTCTGGAGAGCATGGAACTTCCCCCGAGCTGTTGCCACGTTGAGTAAATACAATTTCCATGCTGCTGACCATCCACATAGTGGAACCTTTGTGTACAGACCTGAATCGCAGGCTCTACCTACCTCCCTGACTCTGCTCTGGGGTCTCCACCCTCCTCCTTGGTCCAACGGCTAAGTATCTGACATTGTCTGGGCCCTGGATTAGGGAAAAAAGGCACCAAGGGAGGCCTCTCCATCTACAGCTTGGGAGGAGAAGCAATGAGAGGACCGGCTTGGGGGCTGAGGAACCCCTGCTCTCGGCGAATAGGAAGGTTCTCTTTGCTCACCAGAAACAGGCCAGACAACCAGAGCCTTGAAAGTATGGAGTATGTTTGCTTCTTTGCTCTTTTAGAACGACGACGGATCTTAACACAGTCCTTTAAGGGATTCACACCCTTCCAACATGACCATACTTAAACTGTCACTTCAAAAGGATCAACAAACTGTCTCTCTGGGATGCCACAATTGTTCCAGAGTTTTCCTTAACACTCCTACCTTATCCCTCACTCTTCAATTCACCCAACGTCCAGCCATTACCATCCTGGGATGATGCAAACAGCACTGGACCGGGAACCAGGAAGGCCCGTTTGACCTACCTACATTCCTAGAGCACCTGCTTTGTGGGAAGCACTGTCTTTATAGCACTTGGTACACTTGCAGTAACTCTCAAAACACTTCTTCCAGGAGAAGAAACCACCCCAAGTTGCTGAGTAACTTGCTATTCAAGTCAGGAAGTGCCAGCACCAGACTTATCTAGATACCAAAGCTCAAGCTCTTTCCAGACCAACATGCTAAGGAACTCTAGACCTTTTCTGGAAGGGTTAGCTTACTCAGTCATTAATATAATCTGTCATCAATAAATATCTACTGTTCTAGGCCCTGGGGTATCACGGTAAAAAAGACAGAATCCTTACACTTAAGGGGTTGCTCTTCCAGGGGGCGATATATACACAGGTAAATAAGAGGACTTGTTCAATGCTAAGGAAGAGATAAAATAGGGCATTTTATCTCTGGGGGTGGGGGAAGACATTTATGAGGAGGGGTCACCTGAGTTAAATCCCAGCTGGGGAAAAGATGGGAGGAAAACTCTCCTGAGCAGAAAACACAGACAGAAACAAAGGCTGAGGGAGACATGGTGTGTAAGAGTGAGAGGGAGCCTGGGGGCCACACTGTGGGAAGCAATTTGTAGTTTATTCTGAGGGCACAGCACGCCTTTCGGAGGGTTTCAAGGAGGGGTGTGAGCTAGGTCACACACAAGAGGCTCTCTGTGGAGGACGGATGGGAGAAGGAAGCAGAGGGACCAGGAAGAAGCTTCTGCAGGCGGTCCAGCTGAGCGCTAACAGTGGAGTAGCCAGGCTTGCTGCGGGCAGGGGGTCAGAAGGGGGTATCTGGGGGCAGGACAGTGAGGAATTACTGATGCACTGGGTCTGGGGAACAAGGGAAGGGAGCAGCCAAGGGCGACTCCTGGAAGTTTGATCTGGACAACGGGATGCAGGGCTCTTTTTTCCTGGGTTGGGGAGAGAGAGGTGAGTGAGGGTAGACGGGGGATGAACGGTTCTTTCTTGGTCGTGGAAGTTTGAAATGTCTGTAGACAACCAGGAGGGGATGCAGTAGAGGGAGCCGAACGTAACTGAGTCCGGGGCTCAGAGGAGGTGTCCAGGCTGAACCCAGAACCTGGAAAGGCACTCGTTTGGGCTGGTATTTGCAGTCACAGGACGAGATGAAATCAGAGGATGCACAGAGTAAGGAAAAGAGAGGGTCCACAGACTGAACTCCGGGTACTGAGCTGGCTCTCCTGTGGCCGCAATGAGGGCCTGGCAGACATTTGCCTGCAGGCTGCAGACGGGATATCCCGTCGGGGCCGGGAGAGCGCTGTGGCTCAGGCGACAGACGGTGAGAATCCTGGGATGTCGCTGCACAGAAGAGCATCGCGTCCGCCCCCCGTGCGGCTGAGACCCTTCTTCACCATTTCTTGAACCTCTATAGATGTCACAGCAGATACTGGGATCACCGTGGTGGCCCTTAGAGGGTAAACGGCCCTTTTTGGAGGCGGTGGGAATGGAGAGGAGGTGAAGAAGGGGAAAAACAGCAACAAGATGAGGCAGAGGAATAGAAACGGTGTATGTGAACACTGCTCAAATATTTCATGTAAGCCCCCAAAAGCCCCAAATATCCCCTACCTGCCCACTTGTAGGCTTTAAGGATCTGAAAATAGCAGGTCCTTGGCCTCTGAGAGTCTCTCCCAGGGGAAACCCAGGTAAGGGACTGTGCTTACACGAAGGACTCACAGACCCCTGCGCCAGGCAGCGTGTCCCACCTGAGGACCTTTAGGGCTTCCCACTTCCTCCTGGGATGTGATTGCAGCCCAGCAGCGTGGACAGAATTTAGCAGCCCTTGGTCGGTCGGTGGGACACACTATGACACGTTAGGGGTCTTAGAATCAGCGTAGCCCCCAGCCTCAGGTGCGTGGCAGGTCATCCAGGTGCGGTCAGCTGGGTTAGTGGCGGTGGCACGGGCTGGGTTAGGGTCCAGGTGCCTTCCCAGGTCACAGCAGGGACGACGGAGAAGGGGGACAGAGACGTTCATCCCGAGTGCCATTATAGTGGTAGGACCTTATAGATGTAATTTGTGAGATAAGATCTGTTAAATGTCTCTATCAAACCCATTACCTATTCGACAAGCTTAAGGAAAACACATTTATTTTGAGTCTGGGTTCTAGTCTTGGACGTGGGTCTTGCTGACCCCCAGTTTCCTCATCTGTAAACAGAATTCTTTACATCCACCAGCCTTTGTTCCAACCCAATCTGCAACACGTGCCCTGTTTCCTGGAGGCTGTGCCATCATTCTCCCAGAGACACCAGGAAGTGGCTAGAATCCCCCAGAGTCCCCAGAAGATTCAGAATGAGCCCTGTCTATCGCAGGAGGAGTGCATAGCTGGCGATGTTCTCATGCTCTGCGTGGGATAGTAGAGCACGGAGCTCAGGCTTGGAGCCGGACTGCCTGGGTTCAAATCCTGCCTCTGCATTTACTAGTTCTGTGGCCTTGGACGAGGTACCTAAATTTTTTGTGCCTCAGTTTCTTTCTTTTTTTTTTTTAAAGATTGTATTCATTTATTTGAGAGAGAGACAGAGAGAGAGAAAGAGAGAGAGAGAGAATGAGCAGGGGGAGGGGGAGAGGGAGAGGAAGAGGGAGAGGGAGAAGCAGGCTCCCCGCTAAGCTCAAACCCAGGACCCTGGGATCGTGACCCAAACCAAAGGCAGACAACCGACTGAGCCACCCAGGCTCCCCTTTTAGTATATATGCTGCTCAAGTGAGCACGGTGCCTCGTTTCTATCTGTAAAATGGGGATGATGATGGTAGCACCTGTGATATATGGTCATTGGAAGGATTTAATGAGTTCATGCATGTAAAATTCTTAGAATGGGGTGTGGCATGAAGTCAGCGTTCCAGAATTGTTAGCTATTACCAAATGCTGGCTATGGGGCTGGTGCCTACTCTCGCTCTCCCATTCCCTTTGGGTCACCGAAGCCTCAGGGGGAGCTCCAGCTGGCTAAGATGTGCTCCCTGCTGTCTCCTGTACTCAGGAATCTGTTGCTCAGGTGGGGCCATCTTGACTCCACCATTTTAGTTGGCTATCTTATTACCAAGGCAGACTCTCAACAGACACTCCATCACTGAGTGTTCAAACCATCCCTGAGAAACTGATGTGCACCATAATGAGCGATTAAAACAATAAGCAAAGCTAAGTTTAATTTTATGCTTCTTAGGGTCATGACATAGGTCATGAGTATATACACATCCCAACTGTCCAAAGCTCTGTGTCAAATCAAAAGAGTTGATCAAAATATCAAGTCCATGGCCACTCACTGATGAATGCATAGGCAACTGTGGCATACCCATGTACTGGACTATTACTTGGCCATGAGAAGGAATGAAGTATTTTTTTTTTAAAGATTTTTTATTTATTTACTTGAGAGAGAGAGAGAGAATGAGAGATAGAGAGCACGAGAGGGAAGAGAGTCAGAGGGAGAAGCAGACTCCCTGCTGAGCAGGGAGCCCGATGTGGGACTCGATCCCGGGACTCCAGGATCATGACCCGAGCCGAAGGCAGTCGCCTAACCAACTGAGCCACCCAGGCACCCGAGAAGGAATGAAGTATTGATCACGCTATAGTGTGGATGAACCTTGAAGACATGATGTTTGCTCAGTGAAAGAAGCCAGTCACAGAAGATCACATATTGCATGATTCCATTTATACAAAATGTCCAGAATAAGCAAATCTGTGGAGACAGAGAGTAGATTCCTAGCAGTAATAGATTACTCTGTCATAGATTACTACAGAGAGTAGTGGTTGTGTAGGCCTGGAGGGGGTGGGACAGGAGGTGGGGCAGTGCTAAGGTGTATGGGGTATCTTTTTTGGTGAGGTGACAAAAATGTTATAAAATTGACCATAGTGATGGTTGCACAACTCTGTGAATATACAAAAAACCATCAGATTTTACCCTTCAAGTGCGTAAAAAAAATTGTATGGTATGTAAATTCTCTCTCAATAGAGCTTGTTGGCTTGAGAGTGGGAGAGGCCAATGGAGAGAAACCAGCTCTGTTTCTATTTTCCTGACTTCCCTTCCGTCGTGTTTAGCATCCTCCACCCACAGGCTCCGGCTTTCCCAGGGTCCCAGCATGCCTTACAGCTGCAGACTCATCTAAGGAGTCTCTTCCAACTTGCTGCTGGAGGGGCTGATTATGCAGTCAGGTACCCTATAAGTTTGTGAGGAGGTCAGAACGAGTTTGATGGTCAAGCACCCAGGGAAGGGCCTTATACTTAGGAGGCACTCAATTCATGGTCGTTTACTTCTTTACTCACTCAGTGAATATCTCCTGAGCATCTTTCATGTGCCCAACACTGGCTAAGTGTGGGGATATAAAGTTGAAAGTTCATGGTCCTGGAGCTCAAGGAGCTGAAAGACAGAATAATAAAATCACCATAATGCAGAAAGGCCGTGGCTGTAATTGGGAAATGCATGTCATTGCCGTGGAAGCTTAGGAGAAGGGGCACTTGGGTTGTGTGAGTGAATCAGGGAAAGCTTCATGGAGGAAGTGATGCTTAAGCAACCTTGAAGGGTAAATAAGAGCTTGGCAGGAGGGAAGGAGGGGGTGGGGGGAGAGGGAGGAGGTCAGACCAGGCACAGGGGCGGACTGGCAGGTGCAAAGGGTCAAAGCGTGGAAGACGAATATGTCTTTGGGAAACTTTAATTGGTTCAATATGGTCTAAGTGGAAAGGGGATGAAAGAGAGGTAGAGAAAGAGAAAGACGTGGCTTGTCCAGGGGGAGGCAGATCCAGGTTTTAATTCAGGCACTAGCACTTACGTCTCAGCTATATGGGTGACCTTGGGCAAACCTATGTCTCTGAGTCTCAGTTTCGTTACCTGTGGTATCGGGTTGATAATCCCTGTCTTGCCGTGTTGTAATGAGGAAGACATGAGATGACAGGGGCCCTCAGAGCCCACACCTGCTGTGAGCGTCCTCTGTGCTTGACCCTTACCTCCTGGGATGTGCGCAAGAAAGCCACGGTGCTCCGGAGGTGCTCCGGAGTGTGGGCTTTGGTCCCCAGGCGATGGTGAGCTGATAACATTGTGATGGGACAGCTACAGGCTTTGCTGTATAGGGGGATCCCTCTGGAAGCAGATGGGACAATAGCATGTATTTCCACCCATTCTGCAGTCCTTGGGCCACAAGAGGGATCTGCCGCTGCTCTTTGAAGGCGGTGCTGTTGAGAAGGAAAGTGTGTTTCCATCATCATCTTCTTCCTCCTCTCCTCCTTTTCTTCTCCTGCTCCTGATTATGATTATTGCTTGCTACCACCTCATGCAGGGAGCGCTCGGAGGCTGGTTGGTAAGGCCACTGGGGAGGTCCTGAGCATAGTCTTGGATCTGCCCCTTTCCTTGTGTGACTCTGGTCAACTCACATGGGCTCTTGAAGCCTCGACCTCCTCATCTGTACAGTGGGAATAATGCCCGCCTCACCTTCCTCATGGGATAGTGGTGAGGCTCTACAGACATGACGGTGAATGCACACTGGGTGGGAGGAGACAGAAATGGCCACGATGGGTGCTGCCTGCACCCCAGAGTTTATGCGCTACTGGGAAACAGGGACAGTTAAAACATATTTAAAGTGTGATAGATCTGCATGGTAGGCAGAAAAATGGCCCCCAAACAAGTCCGCATCCTAATCCCTGAAACCCGTGAATATGGTTGGTTCCATGGCAAAGGGGAATGAAGGTAGCCGATGAAATTAGGTTGCTAATCAGCTGCCCTTAAAATAGGGAGATGGTCCTGAATGAGCTGGGTGGTCCCAGTGCAGTCAGGTGGCTTCCTAGATGTGGCAGAGTGGGGCGGAAGGGGGCCGAGCGTCTGAGCGAGTGAGGCTGTGAGGAGGACCCAGTCCATCCCTGCTGGCCCTGAAGGTGGACGGGGGGCAACAGCTGAGACAGGCAGGCAGCCTAGAGCTGGGAAATCGCGAGGAAGCAGCTTTCCCCCCTAGAGCCTTCAGAAGCAACACAGCCCTGCCAACAACTTGATTTTAGTGCAACGAGACCCACTTCAAACTTGTGACTGCCGGACCTGCAAGGTGATAGACTTCCACTGTTTAAGCTACAGTTTGCTACGTTGGGGAAAGACTATGGCAAGCTGGCTAAGGCTTGCTGAGCAGCCCCACCGTGTGCGCATTGAGCTGTGGGCCCGTAGTGGTGGAGACAAGGTGCCTGCTCTCGCTGGGACCCACAATTGGTGGAGGGACCGGCAGTGAACAAATGAGTGAGTGAATGCAGAGTATGGGAGTTGTGCTAATTCCCTGAGCGGTTCGCCCGAGAGAGGGGGCGCTGGGTGCAGCTTTGGTGCTTGTGGTCACAGGACACCTCCCTGGGGTGGGGGGAGGGAAAGAGGAGGAGAAGTGGGGAGAGGTGACATTGAGTTGAGGATGCTGTGATTGGAGAAGGCCAGGGTGAAAAGACAGCCTGGGCAGCAACCTGGCCAGAGGCATCTGGGAAGGCTTCCAGGAAGAAGCACCCACCCGGCCAAGCTTGAGGGATGAGCACAGCTGGTCCCGCTCCCCCCGGGGGGGAGCAGGATGTGTGAAGGCTGTGAGGCCAGGGGCGGCTCAGGAAGCACAAGAGTTCCCTAAGCCTGGTGCAGGGCTTGAGGCACGAGGGATGAGACAAGCAGCCAGAATGGGAAGGGCCCCCTAAGCCGGGGCCCTGTTCTAAGGGCCGTGCAAAGTCATCAGAGCGTTTTAAGCAAAACCACTGGATTTATTCTGATGCTCCCTCTGGCTGAGAAATGGATGGGCTGGGGATAGGGAGCCCAGTCTGGAGGCTGTTGCCATTGTGATAAAAGGGGGACAATGAGCACATGGACAACCCACCGCTGCCCACAGAGGTGGACCCTGGCCCTGAATGATGCTTTCACTGGGCCAAGCCTCCTTGCTGCTTCTGGATCTGCCAGGGGAGCCATGAGGTGCATTTGGGAAGAGCGAATGTGGAGGAACGGGAAAGGAGCTGAGCCCCGAGAAACGTCGAGGGCCGACAACTTCTGGGGGCAGTGGCCAGGTTAACAGAAAGTCTGGTGACAGGGGGCCAAAGCGTTTGAAACCTGGCTCCTGCTACAAGGTGACAGTGGGCAAAGGGGGCTGCAAAGAGGGGGAGAGGGTGCTGGGGTGAGGAGGTGGCCTCCAGGCTGGGCTTCCCACACACTGTCACCTGTCCCCGTCCCTCCTCCCACAGCGGGGCAGAGGAGCAGGTCAACCCCAGCCTTGTGCGTCAGGCAGCGTCTGGTGGGCCTTCTCTTTGCTTTTGTCCCTTCTCTGTAGGGCAAAGGGGGAGGGCGTGAAAGAAGTGACTGCCGAGCCGGCAGGGGTGATTTAGGGGGTTTCGCCCACGGAGGCTGACAAATCAAACTGCCATCCTTGGCTCCTCGAAGTGAGGCCAGAAATGCCCTCCCCTATACCCCTCTCAGGTTGCTTAGTCCCACGGTAAAGCCGATTTCACTGAGGGCCCCTCGAAGTCTGGGGGGGGCCAGGGAGCCACCCGGGCTAGCAGCAGCCACCTGAGCCACTGTGAGTAACCCCCCCACCCCCCCGGGGAGGCATTTCTGCTTCTCGAGTGACAGTGACTGTCAGCGTGTGTCCTGGGGTCTGGGACATGTGTCCTTCGGGCCGCAGCAGAAAGCCGAGACATACCTTCTAAGATTAGAACGAGTCACCCGAGGACCCGGGCCTGCCTCCCCGTCAGCCGCAGTCTCTCCTGTTACAGCAGCTCCCCTGGCCTCCCGTCCTCCCCCACAGGCTGAAGCTGGACTCTCCACAGGGAGCCCCTCCGACGCTCTGTGGGTTGGGTCACCACGGGCAGGGCGCAGTGCTGGGCCCTCTGCTCCCTCCTGTTGTTTTGCCACATCTAGGGCTCATTCGTTCATCCATCCATCCATCCATCCATCCATCCATCCATCCTTCCTGTGCTCCGGGCCCCGCGCCGGGATATGACAATGAACCAGAGGACACTGGCCCTTTCCTCACGGAAGCTAGCGAGGGAGCCATGCATTCGACAACCATCCTTAGTTTTACCCCCAGTTTATTGTTCATCGGGGCAGAAAATGATGCGGAGGGAAAGGACTGGGGGAGAGAAGTAGAAGGGACGCAAGCAAGGTGTGTGTGGAAGGGAGGGAGTAGCCAAGAGCATTCCAAGGGGAGTTGATACAAAGGCCAAGAAACCAGAAGAACAGGTGTTTGAGGAAATGGAAGGAGGCTGGAGCTCAGAGAGCTGATCCAATGCCCACAGTTCTGCAAGCTTGTCTCCTTCTGCTGTAATCTCTGAGCACGGGGACCATGTATTATTCATGTTCCCCTCCCCTGCCCCAGCCTATTGCCTGGCCCACACTAAGTGCTCAATAAATGCCAGTAAATGAATGAATGAAGAAATGAAGGGTGCTGCAGGGTTAGCCAGCAGGCCTGGGCTGACACTATAAAAGCTCGATAAATATAGATCAGGACCTTGAAGTGAAAATGGAAACAAAGTGTCAGCCAGGGTTGGCTGTGGGCTTACCACACTTGAATATTTTCATTAAGGCTCACTGACTCATCCGAGGTCACTGGAATAGTAACTAGAGGGTAGAGAATAAGATCTTCCTTGCTGGGTCTAATACTTAGCAATCTGAGCCTCCGGTCTCCACTCGATGCTAGGCAATCCATCATAATTTCAGGTTCCCATCCCTGGGTATCTGTCGTCTCCAGTTTTAACAACCCAATTTGTCCTAAAACATGACATACTTAAAACACACTTACAGCGTGTCTATTTCTGTGTCTTGAGTGTTGGAATCTTTGAGTTGGCTGTTGATATTTTCAGACACATTTCATCAAGGAGCAAACTGAGGCAAAGGGAGGCACGGGTCCCTTGTCGAAGTAGAAGGACATCTGCCTGAGTGGGTCTGAAATCCACAGCCCTGGTCCGGGCTCCGCAGCTGTCCTCCCCGCCTTTGCTGCCCGGGCCGCTCTAGGCAGAAGTCCCCAATCTCCGTGCATCAAAGACACGTCATGCGTGGGCCAGGCTCTACCTGCCCTAGAAGCCTACTCAGCTGGGATGGGGCCAAATGGGTCTTGAAGCTATTATTTACTGATCACTCCTATCTCCTCTTGCCACATCCTTCAAAGAAGAGAAAAGAAAACTGCCTAGCTGAGTGCAGTGGCTTCGCTTGAAAGAGCTGTTGGGTTTTATAGAGCAAAACTGCTCGCTTCCTTGGCATGAGAAGGGGAGACTGGGAAGGGTAAGGGAGTGTGGCCTTCAGCCTTCAGAGGCTTGTGGATGGCCAGACCTCTCTTTTTCCTCTGCGCGTCGCTCTAGATGCTCCCTTTGGGCCTGGGGCTGATTCACAGTGCGAGGGTCCCCTCCAGGTGCCACCTGAGAACACTCCAGGACAGTAGTCCCACCTGCATCCACACTTGCGTGCAGTGACTGTTGGGGGGGGGGGCGGTTGCTGCTCGGGTCCCCATTGTACCCAGCGCTGTCGACGCTCCGAGTTTTCTAGCCACACCTACTACCATCGCTCACACGTCTCTCTTTAGAAACTGGTTTTTAATTAGTAATAGCAACCTTCTCCTACGTATTTTCTCCACAGTAATAAAACAGCTCATCTGCTGAATGTTTATCATGCCAGGTGTTGTGTTAAGATCATCTTTTTCTTTTCTTAAGATTTTATTTATTTGACAGAGAGACACAGCAAGAGAGGGAACACAAGCAGGGGGAGTGGGAGAGGGAGAAGCAGGCTCCCAAGGAGCAGGGAGCCCGACGCGGGGCTCGATGCCAGGACCCTGGGATCATGACCTGAACCGAAGGCAGACGCTTAACGGCTGAGCCACCCAGGTGCCCTAAGATCATCTCTTTCGATTCTCATGACATCCCTGGGACATGGGTTTCATAATCACCACCAATTTGCTGATGGGAACACAGAGAACTCAAGTAACTGGTCCAGTATCACAGGGCTACTCATGGCAGGCTTAGCATCCACGCGCAGATGCTCGACTAAAGCCTGTGTTCCTAACCACAATACCATTCTGCCTCCAGCAGAAAAGCATTTGGCAATTCACATTTTGGGATTAAAAAGTACTCATCAAATTTAGTAATAATAAGACAAACAACCCAGTAAAAAAATGG